AGGAGTTGCGGGAGACCTGATAAAGGCAGAGCAGACTCTGCAAAGGAAAGAACAATTCTGGCCTAAACGCCGAGGATCTGTGTGGATAATATTCTGGAAGTGCTAGTGCAGCGGCAGTCAAACAGGCCAATAGAAATTTAGGGATTATTAGAAGATCAGTTCAGAAAACAGAGAATGCACAATCACGCCCTTATAGGCATCTTTTTTTTATATGTGCATATTGAGCAGCAGTGTGTAATTTTGGTCCCCTTTCCTGATTTTCTTCTTTATTTGAAGATATGCTCGGAGGCACAGAGTGGCTTGAGTGCAAAGTGGAGCAACCAAGAGGAGGAATCTGTGACTTGGAAAAGGGGTGGCTGAGTAGGGGATAGAGTCAGATACTGCTTACATCATGGATGGTATTTAATGGAAAAGTTCAATAGGAGACAACTGTAATTCTTGTCTCCCTGTGCAAAGGAGAAATGCAGTACTAAACAAAATTTATGGAAAGTGAATATAAAGGAAAGGTGAAATACATTTTCATATAATGTGTAATTGAAATTGTGGAATTCCTAGCAGTGAGGTGCAGCGGAGGCAAAAACTATACAAGCGTCTATTTAGGATCTGGCCAAAATAGTGAAAAATAGTTCTATCAGTGATCATAAACGTGATAGTCTGGATGCAGCTCTGGAGGAAAACCTTAAACTGCCCTGGTTGGAAAACAGAGAGTATGGGGAGGGAAAGACCTATGAATCCATCGTTGCAGAAGTGTGTTTAAGCACCAAATAATCTTTTGGCATAACACATTATGGCCATTTTAATGGGAGGAGCATCTTTAAACACTTTTCAGGCAAATAGTTTTACTTTTCCTGAGAGAAACTTCCAAAAGCATCAACCAAGTTAACTGAAAAATTACGCAGACTGTATAAAAGATGAACGCACCACGGCATACTGGGTATATCAGTAGTTTCATCTGAGGCTTGAAAATCTGTGAAACTTCTAAGACTGCAAGTATGTGGTAAGTAAAGATAGAAGAAATAGTGCCCACCACACTTCTGTAGGGTTTCAAGGTTTATGGGGTCGTTTTTCCTTGCTTCTAGAATGCTTGTTAATGTAGCAGGCAGCATGCGTTCAAAGAAACTTGAGCAAAGGGATAATTTTTGTGGATTTAGGAAAAATACGATATTTCGCAAGAACCTGACTTTGCTGAATCTGTGCTTCCTTGTTTGGGATGAATAGGGTAGCTCGTATCTGTTGACAACTGTTGAGCCCAGCTTTCTGATTCAAGTAGGCACTGCTGTGTATTTGTGCTTAACTTGCGTGATAATTGGGTGTATTCTGTCCTCATAGCAGTCATGGGCGCTACGTCTCTCTCTTCTGTATAGATGTTGGCGGAGGCATGAAAACTCCAGGGACAGACTGGAAGATTTGCTAGGTGTTAGGCTTTGTGATTCTTCTGAGTGACAACACATAGACGGCAATGCATTTATAAACCCAATAGCCCACAAAACCTGACCAAAGGACAGAAAAACCGCAGGCAGCTGTGCTATCGTGGGAATAAACCTGTTAACAAAAGGAAGGGTACTGGCCTATCTTCTCACAGAACACCATGGCCGTATTGATACACGATATCGCTCGGTGGAGACAAACATTATATGCTGTCTCATGTATTCCTACCACCAAAGCAATGAATTCTTTACAAACACAGTGTCTGTGTTTAGTAACCTTTATAGTGTGAGCTGAGGCTTCATCTCTGAAATCAAAAACACTCTTCAACCAGAAAATGAAATCTGGGTCATTCAGCGTGCTTTTACAGCCAAAGCTGAGTTCATGGAACACGTCATGGGCTTCTGATTGTAGAGGAAAAATGGCTAATTTTCTTTCACTGTCAGAGAACAAAGAATTCTGTAAGTTTTAAGGTCTTAACGGCAGAAAATACTTTGCTTGTGGAAGTACCTGCCTCGTACGGTTGATCCTGATACTTCTTCCTACCATTAGTCTAGAGGCTTTGATCTCCTCTTGTTTCAAGAGCCTGTTCCAACAGAGTGTCCCTGATACAAGCCAGATTTAACCAAGGTTGTTAACATGGGCATCTGTATCAGCATGGTTTAAATTTACAGGCTCTACATGTAAGATTTTATGAGCAGCTACTGTTGTACTCGGTTCCTCAGCAGTGTGAGGTCTGCTTTGGGTCCGGCAGTAGGGTGTTAGTGGCCATGCTGCGCCTCTCGGCAGGGATTGCTGTGCTGGGTGAAGCGCCATGCTGCTGCAGATGTTCGGCTTTTGAACCTCTTGACAATGTGCTGTGGATTTATCCATTCAGATTGGCGCGAACTTTTGGATCTCTGCCGCATGCTTTATTGGAAGGTTTAAACATACCCAGAGGTGTGTAGCAAGTCAGTGTAGAGCTAGGTTTAGAGGTTTTGCTTTGGATATCTCTGTTTTAAGTAGTACTGCAGTGTAAAGGAAAGGTGATTTTTTTTCCTCTTTGTAAATGCATGTACAAATAGTAATAAAAGCCATCAAAACCTTTTTGTTAACAAATCCCAAAGGCTACTCATGGGGTTTTTTTCCCAGCAGTACTGATTAAAATTTTGAATCTATAGTTAATTATATCATCCATACATGCTTTAAAAGTGAAACTGATTGATTTTGGCTAGTAAGCAGTGGTTTGTTTTAGAAAATACTGTGTGTTGTTGGAAATCATGATGTGTTATCTTAGTAACAAAGATCTACACTTTTACTAATAGGATACAGTCTGTTCGTTTGTACTGTGGTGTGTATTGCTGTAGAGATTCATCTCTAAATACTTTTCTGTTGCTCAGCTTTGCTGGGAATGGAAGATGGGAATCCTTTAATGCCCAACACCATGTTATTTCCTTAGGGTAATTCCTCTTAATTACCATTCCGCTGCAGTCCCGAGAGTGCAGGTTATGGACAAAGACTTTGAAACATGGATTATATTTCGGTCTTGGAACACATCATGCTGCAATTCTTTTTCCTCAGGCTATAACATTCTATTACTACTTCATCAAAGGTTTAATTAAACCCATTAGTTTGCAGAAATTGTCTACATGCTTCAAAAGTTATCATCCTTAACCTATTAGAAGATGCTATTTGTAATATTTTTCAAAGGTATGAGCTCTAATACAGCGATAACTATTGTTGAGACAAAAATTAAAGTATAAAATGGACAGAAACAGTTTTTATAGTAAGTGTTACTGTTTTATTCAGTGGAGTGATGCAGATGAAATCTTTAGCCATGTTCTATTCTGCCTTCTCTGAAGATTATTCTAAAAAAAATAAATCCTTCTTGAGCAATAGGAAAATACATGTATTGTGTGAAAAGGATTTTGTTAACCTCGGAGGAAGTAGTTCTAAGGCTTCATTTTTTCATGAGGCAAGTATAACATTACAGATGCTTAACTACTTCTGGTACTAACACTCACGATTTTTGGACATTATGGATAACCCCTGGATACACAGTCTTTAAATCTCCAGAAGTATATTAATTCAAATAATTTGAGACAGTTCTTTCCAGACACTGGATAGAAATATCTGTTTTCATAGCCTCCCAGAAAATGTAACTTGCTAGATGAACTCAAACCTGTAAGTTTGTTAAAATAGACAGAATTAGTTTTTGTGCAGATCCGATCTGAAATACATTACGTGAACATAAGAACTTTATAAAGAGAAGAAAATTTCATCTGCCATGTGCTCAGAACCCCTGAAATATTTCTGAGCTGTCGTAAGGAAGAGGTCAGCCCCGTCTTTCTGAATTCTGCAGCCATTGGTGGTCGCAGTAAGTCAGTAATGTTTGCACAGAAGAGTCTGAAGAGCAGCTGGCCACCTCAACAGACCCTTCTCAACCACACCCTGCAGCCACCCAGAAAACCTCCAAAAAGAAAAAAGGGTCATCCTTCACTGAAGCAGATCATTATCTAGGAATAATACTAAAACTAACAAAACTCGGGGAGGGGGAGGGGAGGATTGACTTTGGTTCTGGGAAGATGTGATCTCTAATGCTTCTGTGGCAATTAAAGCAGGAGAAATCTACTTTGTGCATCCTCTGGTCTCTCATAAAAGGATGAGCTCAACTCTGCATTGCTGAAAACAATTGTGAGCCCACAAATAATGTGTTGAAAAAAGTGGGGGAAGAAATGGTCTAAAACCAATTTGTTTACAGATTCATATAGACTTCCAAATAATGCAAAAATAACATCCAGAGAATATGAAGATTGGAAAGTCAAGTTCAAAAAAACCAGTGAATGCTAGAATTGCTGCTTGCATGGTCATAATTAAGTGCTTCTAAAAACTAGTAAAATTTATCTTGTTGGAACAACGGATTTCTCTTTTCAGAGACAGATTGATGTTTTTAAACAATTGTTGTGCGTGGAACAGAAGCGGTTGTCTTTCGATTTCTTAAATAGGTTATTAACATTTGGACCACTTGGAATTTTAACACTTCCGAATGACACTTGAATCATTGCTAGAGGAGACTGGAAGGAAAGGCCTGCCATTTCTTTTCTGTAAATAAAATACCTGATGTTCGAAAAGGAAGTGCCAGATTTGTTCTGCACTGTGTAATGTCAAGGCACAAGGTGGGCTTATTTTAAAATGCCGTTTGCAAGTCTGAGTGGATATTAAATGGGTCTCCTGCATCCCCAGTGCTTGTTGATTCCTTCAGAGAATGCCAGTATGTTTGAGAGAGATCATGTCCCTTTGCAAAGGCCATTTCTTCAAACTTGCACGTTAGAGATGTTAATTTTTTAAAATACATGCATAGATAGAACTATTCCATCCAGTTTTTAGTGATGTCATCAAGTCAGTTGATCGAAAGACACATTTGCTGCTTTGGGTAGCAGCTGTTCCCTGATAGATCCAATCCTTGATGGAGTGTGTTTTCATAGAATCATAGGTTGGAAAAAACCTCTAAGATCATCAAGCCCAACCATCCGCCCGACAAATGTTTTAATGTATAAAGTCAGATTGTTGTAACTACTGTTTCTTCTTTTTCAATTTTAGCTGTCCCTTTTCCACCAACACATCGCTTGACATCTGAAGAAGTGTTTGACACAGATGGTAGACCAAGGGTTGACATTTTGAAGAACCACTTGATAAAAGAAGGTCGAGTGGATGAAGAAATTGCACTTAGAATTATCAATGAGGGTGCTGCAATATTACGGAGGGAAAAAACTATGATAGAAGTTGAAGCTCCAATTACAGGTAATATTTCTAGATAATTTCACACATAATGAAATTTGAAAAAAGCCATTTTTTTTTCAGTAATAGAGTTTGTCTTAAAAATTGCTAAAATAAAATTTCTATATAATCTTATTGAGTTATCCCTCACAACTGTATTTGCTTAACAGTACTCAAACGGGTTGAAAAAACATGCTGCACGTTATTCTGCAAAATGAAGACATTAAACCGATTGGAAAAAAATAATATGATTGGTATTAAAATGACAGAATAGGAAGTAGTTAAATGCTGCCAAATTATAGATTTCTAATTCCTGCAGTGTTGTAAGTGGGAATAAAGATATCTACCTGGAATAGAGACATGAACTCAGAATTATCCTGAAATCTAAATACATGAAGAGAAGCTCCATGCTGTCGTTTCAAGTGAATACTGTGAACTGGAATTCTGAGGGGAAAAATACACCTTGAGAGTTGCTCTGTAGGTGAGACTGACGATTGGGTGTAAAACCATGTGCTGGAGAGGGCAGTACTGCTGGGAAGCGTGGCAAGATTGCTGCAGCATCTTTTACGTCCTAGGACCAGATCCACTCGATATGCAGCTGAGACTGAGGGGTTTGGGAGTGTTCTCGTGGTTTGACTAGTTCTGTTTCTGTGTGACCTGGAGAAAGGTGGAATTGGTGTCCACTAGTCCAGGCTCAAAGAAAATAGTTTACATTTGCTTATCTGTTACTTATGATAATGAAAGGAGGTTTGATTTTTGTGTTCAAATCAGATTTTCTTTCATTTGAATATATTTTCTTCTAAATGGATCTATATAAAATCAGTTTCTGAAAAGCTTCTTTTAGGGTGTCAGCTTGCTTTAATTTGTTGGTATCAGGTAATGAAAATATTTAAACAGTACATCATTATTATTGGCCTTTTTTTTAAAAAATGAATGATGGAAATGGTGGAAACCACTAAGTGACTGTCTGGACTCAGAGTCTTTTGAAGCTCCAGATAAAGCTTAAAACTACAGTGTTGTCTGTATGTTTAGAATTTTTATGTTTCCGTTTATTCAGGTAGTTACCCAGAGCTACTGGTATATTGGCAGGTGAAAAAGGAGGAGAGTTATTGCAGTGTTTGAGTAGAAATCTTAAGAAAAGTGCCATAAAAGAAGACACATTCTATTTAGTCTAATATTTTGTAGCTCTTGGTGACAAATGGTCTGCTTCGAGGGAATAACAACCTTTGAAGTGTTGTGTGCCATATCCAACATTTCTTTCGAAAATTAGAACAACTTTTTTTTCCCCAAAAAAACTTACTGACAAACTCTGAGAAGTCGGAAGATGCTATTCACCAGTTGATCAGTGACATTTTACATCAGCGGAAGGCGTAGTCTCTCAAATTCCTGTTGTTATCAGCAATTCCTCACACAGAATCGAGGAGGCAGCTCCTGACTTCCACTGAGCTGGGAACTCCTGTGGGAATGAGGAGTTAGGAGCAGCTGTCTCTTCTGTACATTTTAAATTTTCTTTTTTTTTTTTTTTTTGTTATTGTGAGATGACCTGACTCTGCTGTGTGCTCTTCAGAGGCTTCCCATCTGCTATCTTTGGCACTTCTGCCTTAGGTTGCTGACCACTGGGGTCTTGTCCTGTCTCATATTCTGAAAACACAAGGAAAACACACTGTTCAAACAGTGAACATGGTTATTTGAAGGAGAAAAGTAACTGAGCAAAGAGAAGATAGGGTGATATTAAAAGGTGTGTTAGTCTGATCAGAAACAGAAGCATACTCCCTGCTTTTTTCAATCCCACGTGGACACGGCAAATTTGTTGCAAAGCGGTGGGCATTTTCAAATATGCATTCCGAGGAGAATTTGAAAAGATGCCCAAGGGGCTGGGGAGGACAGTAAAGAGCTGCTGACAACTTCCCAAGACCTCAGTGCTCAGCACACTAACTGTGTTTGAAAAGTATTCCACAGTCTGCTAGACTCCAACAGGGCTTTCGTCAGCGTTGTCACAGGTAGCGAGGACAGCATCTTAATGGAAAGCAAAGGGGGAGGCGTCAAAAATTCCTGTTATTCCTGCTTTATACCTGCTTTTCCTCTTAATTAGAAGTACTTTGTGGCTGTTTACTTAACTATAACTTAGTAACTTTTCTGTTAGATTTTTTTTAAATTAATTTGAATACAATTTTTACTTGCAGTGTGTGGTGATATTCATGGCCAGTTCTTTGATCTAATGAAGCTGTTTGAAGTGGGAGGATCACCTGCTAACACAAGATACCTCTTCCTCGGTGACTATGTAGACAGAGGTTATTTTAGTATAGAGGTAACTGAATATATTAATCTGTTTTGTCCAAAATTTTTCTATAAGCACTCTTTCACAGAGGTTTTCAAGTGAAATTTTCGGTCTGCCTTAACATGTGACTGTGTTCTTCCTCGCTGGGCTTTCTCCCGTGGCAAAGACCCGTTTCCAGGAGGCGGTTGCCCAGCTGTGTGGACTGTTCTGTAGACATCGCCAGACTTACTCGTTTTTCCTCCTCTTTCTTTAGTTATTTTTTTAAAAGTTGAATTCTATAGCATTGTTATAAATAATCCTGCTTCTCTGGTAACGTGCAGGAAGGTGTGTTTGTATGTTTTTGGAAAACAGGTGAGTCATGACTACAAGGTCTTTTAATTTATTACGGCTGTTTACCTGTATGAAGTAGATTTCGTTTTACTTCTGTAGTCTAATGTTTTTTAATAATTTTTAATATTTTTCTTTACTAAAATTCTGAGGGCGATTACAGATATTCCCTAAGGATGATGTGTGTTTCTGCCATTAATTTTTCAGGTATTTTGAATTCAAATAATTTTTTAATTTTCAGCATGTTCATTAAGTGTGCTACATTCCAGAAATACTGACTGACTCATATCAGTTAGTTTCAGAGCTATGATTTTTAAGTTAACTATTCTTCTGGAGCCTCAGCTTGGGATCTGTTCATAGATGCAAAATCGAATAGTGGCATACCATTTGAAATAGTATTTTGCAAGTCATGGTGTATGATACTTCATTTCTGTATCAAATTTACGCTGTACTAGTAACTTGTGGGTATCTACTGTGAAGGGCATGCGCAGTGCCTTATGAGGTTGTTAGGGGTGGTAGACGAACAGGAGATGCAGCGAGTGCCTCAAAGTCGCTTATAAGGAAAACTTTCAACAGACATTCCCTGTTTTTTAGTTTGATCTTCTTGGCCAGTTCTTGATGATACAAATAATGTAACTGTCCTTGAAAAGGACATTTACATAGGAACAATATCTGTTAGTATATCAAAACATGGTATGAAAGCTTTTCAACAATTACGCTTACAAAAAGCTTTCGAACAGTGAATGTTCTTGAGTATATTAAAAAGAACACGCTCTTTTTTTTTTCCCTCATATGATTTTAATTTAATTTTTAACATAATATCTGGCATACTAAATATACTTGCAGAATATGTAAAGAAATGCTAAATATACTCTTGAAAACCTCTCCAGCATTCTTAAAAAGCTTGTCTGCCTTCATGGAGATAATCTGCTCTCTTCTGCTCCGAGTGGCTGTTGGAACATGGGCATTATAGATTATCTGAATGAGGGTGAATGGCTGCAAGTGCGTGAAGGTGGGGCTATGCTTCGTGAGAAAGCAAAAAGTAGTACGTGAAAATCAGCCATTTGTTCTCCACTTTCACCTTAAAAAAATTGTTCCTACTTAAGTTTTTGACTTAATTAACATTTAGGAAGTTTAAGCTGACCTCCAGGAGTTTTCATATATGGTTGCTTTAAAATCTTTCGTAGTGATTGGAATTGTAATATACATTTGGTAAAATATTTGACTTTTCACAGACAAGTGAAGGTGAAATTTTCTAAAAATGTATGAACAGAGAAATTTGATTTTTCACTAATAAATTTTTAATCAGTCTGTCCTGAAACATCCTTAATTGCATTGATATTTTAGTAGTAACCCATTTCTAATTAAAAAATGTCATCACTTCTAATAGGAAAGATAATTACGTGCTACCATGATTGTATATAACAAGCTGCCGGGATCAAGGTGGAGTTCTTCACACAAGTGTGTGCAAATTCTTCTGTTCTGTGCTGGAAGTAACAGGACATAGAGAACCCTGACATTAGTCTGTCTGTATGTAATAATAAAAAATAAATACGCCAGTACAGGAAAGGTAAAAAATAAATTCCCCCTTAATAGATAGCATGCTTGAGAACGTGTAAATCTGAGCGATTTAATCGAATACAGTATCCATTTACTGAAAGGGAGGCACTGTTTTCTATTACAACGTAGAAAGGGTGGCCGCTTTGCTGTTACACGTCTTTAAGGTTGTCAGCTTTCATAAATTTTTCATACAAACTAACTTAAGCAGTTCACAGTTGTAGCATTTGCCAGATTAATTCATGCATTCATTTGATAATAAGCAGTTATTTTGTAATAAACTGATTATACTTTATGCTGGGAAATGGTTTTAAAGAGTCTGGGGACTTTATATCAGGGTATTTTAGAGTTACAGAAACATTGGAACACAAGTGGTATCATTAGAAAAATTATTATTTTGCATATTTTTACTAAGAAGACAAGAAAAATTCAGTAATTAGTTTAGCTAGACTTCACAATAGAAGTCTTTGATGTATTTCTCCATGTTTTCTGTGCTTTCTAAAGCATTCCTTTGTTTTCATTCTTCCTTCATGTACTTACTATTCTATGTAAAATAACTTTGAAGAATGATAGCTTCAGGGTAGTAGTGATTGAGAACAATGATAATAATAATAACAACTTGCAGGTTGAGATTTCTGTTCTCAATTAAAAATACAAGAATCAGATTTGAAATTTAAGAAATACATTTTGGACATTTGAGACTGCTGGGCGGTAACAGATTCTAAACTGAAAAAACTGTGCATGTTCTGTAGCTCTGTCCTCAACTCTGTTGGCTACTGATGTTGCAGTAATTATGATATATGGAAGCTTACTGTAATTCTTTGAATCTGCTGCTTGACCACTGAATAAATAACCAGCTTTCCCATTTTTTTTTTTGGAAAAAAAAAAAAAAAGGTTTTCTCTGTCCATTCTTAGTTTAAAAGCAGTCTCCAAATGGTATAGCTGATTTTAATATAAATAGGTTTGTGGGGTTTTTTTCCTTCTCTATTACTAAATGTCTGCTTTCCTTTTTATGCCTGTGTTTAGAATCAGACTATAAAATCAGATTTTGGGCACAAACGCATACTTTATTTGTCTAGGTGAAAGTGTTCTGCAGTGTTATTCTACTGAGTTTATTCTGTTATTGACTGTCCAGTAAATATAACTATTCTTTCAGCATTCTATGCAGCTGTTCTTAAGAAAAGTAATAAGCAATTTGCGTAACTCATGTCCAGAACTGGACGCGGGGAAGTAGTGGTGCGTTTTACAGTGGCACATTAAGCTGTACTTGCTTTTGAAGATGTTAACATTCTTACTCAATGTTTCTCAGTAATAAATTTTTAAAGCTCTGATGAACTAGTGTATTTTACTGGATATCTTTGTTTTTCAACAGTGTGTGCTGTACTTATGGGTCCTGAAAATTCTCTACCCAAGCACGTTATTTCTTTTGAGAGGCAACCATGAATGCAGACACCTAACAGAGTATTTTACGTTTAAGCAAGAATGTAAGTACTGTCTAAGAATGTAAAATTAGTTTACTTCCAACCTGCTGATCTACGGTCTGTCATTATGCTTGAGAGACGTTTGTCTGTTAGTTTAATTAAATTCTTGCAAACATTTGGAGCCTCCGTTGACTTGTGTAGAATTGCAGTTCAGTGTGGCACTGGAGTGCAAGTTATGTAGAAGACGACTGCCTGGAAAGATACATTATGGGGTCAATTTTGATGTATCAATCCTGATTTTCGAATGCTGGTGAGAGGAAGGTTATTTTGCTGTCTTGGCTGTAATCAGGAGTGCGAAGTAACTTGCTGAGCAGCATTGTGAAGCTAGCAAGAAAACACTACTGTCAAGTAATGTTTCCATTTGAGGAATTGGTTTCAAGTAGACTGGTAAGATACCTCTTCGGTGATGTAAGCTGCTCCTCCATTTGGAGGCTTGTGCAAGTATTGACCCAGTGATAAATGGATCATTTGCCCCAGTAAAACCCGCTTTGATATAGGCAAAAGTGATGTAATCTGTAAGCAGTTCTTAGCTTTTCACTGTAAATGACAAATCACAAACTTCTCAGCAGTATTTTACACTGAAGGATGCTGTATAATTGTATAATGCAAAATAATTCCGTGATGTTTTTTAAAAAACAAAAACAGTGTCTCCATGCTTGAGGTAACAGAAGAGGAAATGAAAAAAGTTTATAGTTCTGGAAGAGAATACGTCTCAGAAATGTGCTTGCTTGTTGCGGTGTTTGGAAATGCTCATTTAAACCCAAAAACATTAATTGCCCTGGGGTTTTTTTGTTGAGCATTCACTTTGAGATTGGCTCTTATAATTATGATGCACTAGATTACTTCTTCCATCTAATACAGATTTCTTAATGTTTTATATTTTATTTCCTGCAGGTAAAATAAAGTACTCGGAAAGAGTCTATGATGCTTGTATGGAAGCTTTTGATTGTCTCCCTCTTGCTGCTCTTCTAAATCAACAGTTTCTTTGTGTTCATGGTGGACTTTCACCAGAAATTAATACACTAGATGACATTAGGAGAGTGAGTATTTTGTGTATTTGAAAATAAGTGGAAATATAGATGCTATATGCTATGGTGCTGTACAAAGTCATGTTTGTGAAATTGTCAGTATATTGTTTTCCGTTCCTGTCTCTTTTGGAAGTGTAAGTCAGGAAGTGAAATGTAGGCTAAGCAGTATCATAATCAAAAACTCGTGGATGATCTAGTGCATTTTCTGTTAGTAGATCTCATTGGGACAGCTGGCACTGTTACAAAACACACACCAAAAAAGCCCTCAAAAACTCCACGTGGTTTCCTGAGACAGGTAGTGCATGTAATGAGCGTCATATCCAGTCGAAATGGTGCTTTCTAGTTCTTCCTACGTAAGGGCTAGAGTGTTCTCGTGGCTTTCAGGACAAAACTTAACAGAATAACATTGGAGTCTTGAAGTTGTTTGATGTATCAAACATTGTATTTCAGTTATTCTTAGATTTCTTTGAATATTGGGGTTTTTTTACTCTCTTCATCGTGTGGATTTTGGTTTTGA